GGAGAAAGCCATTCCATATGGCTGAGCCCAAGCGACATGAGGGAGATGGGGGAGTTCTGCAAAGCTCTGCCTGACACTGCGGCATTTGCTCATTCCCTCCCAAACTCACAGGGATCTCAACTGGATTTGCTTGTGACTGAACTTAGTGACAGAGCCCGTGCAGCATCTGCCTTTCTTCTCAGCCTAATCTGAAGAGCTGCATCAGCAACACAAATACTCCATTTCTTAATGCATATGTCAGTGCCAGGGATTTCTGCTGGAAATYGGGTGAGGATGGAGCCAAGGGCTCGGGGGGTTTGGCCCTGGTTAGCTGTGGCTGGCACTGCTGGTTCCAAGGGACAGGGGACCCTCGGGGGCGGTGGCAGTGCTGGCTGTACCTTCTCGGCGCTGTTGCGGGAGGTTTCAGGTTTCACCAGGATGGACGGCGGGGCTGATGCGGGCGGCTTTGGRGCGGCCTCGCTCCTCACCGGGGGCTCCTTTTGATCCAGGATCACCGAGCTGCACACCGAGGGCGTYCGGCTCTCCCCTCCCCTCAGCACCAGCGCCGGGGAAGCCTCGTGGGAGAAGTTTGGCCTCGTTGCCTCGTCCATGGCAGCTCCGATGTGCGGGTAAAGCTGCAATTGCTGAGGTCGCCCCAGAGCCGTGGGACGCCTGAGGGATCCTGTGATCTGCACGGGAATGCCTGCCTGGCCCGGCCTCTGCAGGGATCCGTCTGGGGAGCAAGGACATGGACAGGAGTTTAGTCATGAAACCAAACTGTGCAGAGTGAGCAGTGTTACAGCCCTGACCATCAGCCCTGCCCACAGGATGCTGTGGGGCTGTAACCCCCAGGGATCACCATCTGCCCACCCCTGTGCCCCAGGACTGATTCTGAGTGTAAAACCATGGACAGTGACCCTGGCAGGGCTCTGCTGCCAGTCCTGGGAATACACAACTTGCTTCCCCAAATACCCTTGAAAGTGTATTACAAAGCAGTGTTTATGGGAYGAAGATAACCCTTGCAGACTCCTTGGAAAGAATATAACCACTGAGCTCYGCATAAAGCTTTGCAAGGAATGTTTCCGTGCTGAGTGAAAGCCCCTGGAATCTGCAGAGCAGCCAGAGCTGGGGCCAAGCACATCAGTGGTGTGGTTTGGGGAGATGTGCCCATCCCTCCCTCCMTCCCAGGGCACTCACTCTTCCTGGTGCTGCCTCGGCCGCGCCGCAGCGGTGCCGGTGCCGCTGTGCCCCTGCCGGGGCTGGGGATGGGCACGGGCAGCAGCAGCGGCTTCAGGGCTCTGCTCTGCCTCGGGCCGTTCTCGGACATGCTGCCTTGGGACGACAGCGAGGAGGTGGACAGTGTCCATGAGGTGTACAGGGAAGGCATCTTGGAGTCGGAGAGACTAGATTTCCTGTTGGAACACAAGGGTGAGAGCTGCCAGGTGCCACCCTGCCTGGCGAGGGACCCCCGGCCTTGGCAGCATCCTGGGGATCCCTCGCCATGGTTTCTCTGGAAACAACTTAACCCCAAGGCCTGTGTGTTACCCCTTCCCTCTGCCCGTGTTTTTATTTCAGGTGAGAAATTCCAGACCTGAAGAGGGGTGTGACGTAGTTGCTGGGGAAGAGGCCGACTCTGCCYGTGACCAGGGACATTCCCCGCAGCCAACCATCCTGGTCCTTCCCAAAAACACGCACCCCTTCTCCCTTCTGCAGCTCCAGCTCGTCGGGTCCGTGAGSCGTGTACGAGTGGAGAGCCACACACCTGGGGAGAGAGGGAGTGAGGGAGGCAAAGCTGCCCCGAGCAGAGGGGCTGTAATCCTGCAGCTCTGGGCTGGAGGGGGGATGCTCCTGGCTGTGGGTGAGCAGCTGCTGTTCACCTGCAGCATCTTCAACCAGTGCTGCATCCAGGATTGGGTGCTGCCATTGTGGAGAGAACTTGTATGGAGGAAACTGCCTGTTAGCTCAGGCCAAAGGGGATATGAATAAAAGAAGAGCCAGCAGGAATGGAGAGCAAAGCAGGTCAGGAGGATGGCTGGTCCCAGAAGTGCCAGCCCAGGGTGACAAATTCTGGGGAGGAGGCAGCTGCTGCTCTGCACTTCACACACCCAGGGCTCCATCAGAAACACTGACTAGGGCCTGACAAGTACCTGTCCTAAGGCAAAGCTCTTGAAAGAGCACAGCTATCATTCTCTGTTCCAGACAGCATCAGGAATTCATTCTGCCTTTGAAACCAGAGGCCTTGGATCTGTGTGCCTGGAGAATCACCAGCAGTGCTGGAGGCCCAGGGAAGAGCASCACCCCATCTTTGTCCCTTGAATTCTCCTTGACTGGAGCACAAGGACTGGAGCTGCTGCCAGTGGAGAATGGACAGAGGTGAGGTACAAGGAGGGATGTGGCTCCACCCCAGATAGTGAGGAAATCAGATTAGAAATTAGTCTGAAAGCTCCTCTAGACCAGTGGCCATGAAGRTTTTAGGATAAAGAACTAGAGGCACTGAAGGAGTAGGTAGTTTCTTTACACTTAAAAAAATTTGTAAAATGTATTGTTGACAAATAGGCAGAACTGTTCATCCATAGATCCTGCAGTGAGGCAGAAGGACACTCTCAGCTGTAAGATCAGGTCTCTGCCACCCTGCTCAGACCAGCTACCTTCCCACATGGATCCACATTTGGATCCACATTTGGATCCAGCTGTGCTCTGCTCTGTCTGTACTCCAGGCTGGCAGAGCCAGCTCAGGCTCCAGCTCCAGGAAATTGCAGCCCAGCCCCAAAGTGTTTCAGTTCCCTTACGTACAGGTAAGCTGGCCCGTGCTGCTGCAGGTGGGGAAGGGTGACGATGGCTGCTGGGGACCCCAGTGATCCTGGCTCAGGGTAGTAAGAGGTGCTGACCTACGGGAGAAAGGAAGCAAAGAAAACAAGGTGTTAATCTGGTTATCAGCTTCTTTTAGTTACTGGAGGAGCAGCTAAAAACAKTTGACTGCTGAAGAGTGTTTTTTGAAAGTGACTTCACCTACCCTTCAAAAAAACTACCAAAGACATTTCAGGAAACAGAAGAGTCTGGAGCAYTTGACTTAAAAAAAGACCAGGCAGCAAGAGGAAGACTCAGAATCACAGAATCATTTAGGYTGGRAAAGAYCTCCAGGATCATTGAGRGGTAATCAATAATCAAGGTGACCAATCCCCATCTTGGCACCAGCCCAGAGTGATGGAGCAGCATAACCTTAACCCAAMAATTATGACTTAAGAGAGTCACATTTGAGTCCCAAACCTGTATCTGTTGATAATCTCATAGCTGTGACATCCACTTGATGCTCCTTCACCTCTCCTTGTGCTTGGTGCTCTCTTTATCCCCCTTCTCTTGGCTCTGACCATGAAGAGTGCCTGGATCTGTTCAAGGTCTCTGSTGATGCTTCACGAGTGAAAAGGAGTTTGGGAATATGGCCCAAATTTCAAGCCCACGCTTTGAACCAGAAGGCTGTTGCATCTGCTGGATCAGGACTGGTGTGATCACTACTGTTTAACTTGTTTATTTTAGCTCCAGCTGGGAGTATTGACATTGCCTGAACACTAAATCCCAGTTCTTACTCCAGTGATGTTTAATGACTGTGATTAAAGGCATTTACCATGTCTGTGGTGTCCCTGGAGCCCCACAGGGCATTGCAGAGCAGGGTGGGCAGGGAGCTCTGCCAGCCACACCATGGGCACACAGAGCCCTTGCTTGGGTTGTGTGTGCCTGGGGTAGTACTTTCCCCACTATCATTCTGCACCTGCAGAGTGTTACCAGCCACCATAGTGCCCCCTCTGTGCACTCCTTGGGGTCTGTGGTGTTCCAGGGAGGAGCTGCAGTCCCGTTTCTGTGCTGAGGTAACTGTGCCTCGTGCTGTGCCAGAGCTGGTACCTGCCAGGGCCATGGGGTGACTCCTTGTCCTTGTGCTGGTGAGGTGACAAGCAGCGTGCTGGGCTGTCCCCATTCCCTGCCCTCCTCATCTCTCAGCTGGGTTTGGGGTCTCTGAGATGAGCAATGTGCTGTTGGGTGTCCTCTGTGCAGTGTCTGCTGAGCATCCAGCCACAACCCTGACCCAGGACCCGCTGTGTGGTCTGTGCCCTTCCCAGTTTGGTCTGGTGTCCCTTGTGCTTGCTGGGCTCTGCAGGGAGCCCAGGAGGGTCCCAGGAGGCTCAGGGCAGCAGAATGTTCCTGTGGATGTGCAGGCAGTGGTGCTCTCCAGCAATGAGCACAGGATCGTTCAYGATGCAAGCTGGGCCTTTCATCTGGTGTTCATTTCAAATCCAATTTCTCGTGGTCATGTCTGTAATGTGGTGCTGCAGCACTGCCTTGGCAAGGACCAAGGGAAAAAGAGAAGTGACTCACCCGCTCTGATGCTCTCCAGTAAACTAAATTAATTTAAACACCCCAGCAATTCCAGCTTGTCTTGGGTCTGGAGTGGCAGGTCAGCTCCAAACCTTCTCTGCATTCCTCRTTTTCTAGTGCAGGCAGGATCAGACCAGGTGCTCATAAAGTTGACTGGAAATTATAATTCTGTTTTATTAATTACCATAATCAAAATACCTGAAATTTGGGTATTTGGAGTTCCTTTTTTTCCTGAACTGGAGCAAAATAAAAACCTTTTGCTGGTTTTCCTGATGGAACTGTGTTGATATGTCCCCTTCTGAGTGGAAAGCTCTGTGTTTTTCATYTCTTGTTCCCCTCTGTCTGGGAACAGCCATCATTTAGAGCATCCTCAAAGCTGCCTTTTTGTTTGCAACAGAGAGCAAAAAAGACTGACGAAATACTTTGGAGCCACATGTAATTARTTTCAGCATTCACTTTTGCTGATCTCTTGGGAGTACCTTGCAACGCCTTGGATGTACCAAGGGTGTAATTCCCTGCCTCTCCTGACATCTCTCTCTTTCTCTCTCCATCTCCCTTTCTCGTGTGTCACCAGTGACATTCCAGCACTGCTGACAGCACTGCAGAGATGTGATGCCATGTGGGGAGGGAGGCCTTGCCCACCCCGGGGAGGGGGAGCTCTGGGTGCTCCTGGACATTGGGCCCTGCAAATCCCAATCATTTCATACCCAGAAAAGCCAGAGGTCCCGGGAGTCAGCTGTGGGTTTATCAGCTCCCTTCACCAAGTGACAAGGGAGAGCAGGAACTCAGCCAGACATTCCCTGACCCCAGGATCACCAGGGCAGGGAATCAGCTCAGCAGGGACTGGGAAGGGATTCCAGAAGGGAGGGCGTGGGTGCCCTGCTGCCCTCGCCCCACAGCTGCTTGCACAAGAGACACATGCACAGACAGGGCCACCACAGCCCTGCAAACTGGTTCTGGCTGCACCTGAGCCCGGCTTGGCACCACCACGGGGAAGGAAGAGCCGGAGGAGGAGGGCTGGGGCATTGCTGATTGTTCCCTTTTATGGGCTGAAATGATCCGACCTGCTCCCTGGAGATGGGGATGCCAGGCTGTGGGGAGCCCTGGAACCCTGCAGCACAGCCCCTCTGGTTTGGCTTTCCAGCCACATTCTGCTGCTGCTGCTGCTGCTGCTGCCTGGGTGCCAGGGGCAGCCCCAGCTCCCTCGGCCTCTCAGGTACCCGCAGTGGCCACCTGGTCTGCAAAGGAAACTCAGCTTAGTCATTGCAGTCCAGAGCCAGAGATGGAAAGGGAAAGGTGCATCCTGTGCAGCCCCAGAAATGGCACAGATTCCCCTGCAAACCTCTGGGAGCAACACTGCTGTTTGAAAGCAAGGAATTTCCAAACCTCTCTTGTTTCTGCTGTTGGCGGTAATTCACACTGAGATTTTTGGGTAAGATCCCTTCAGGGGTGTGAGAAATGCTCATTTGAGTTGAATTACAGAACCACTGTAGGGTTTCATTTCTCTCCATCACCCAGGACATCACATCCTGGCTCTTTGCAGGCTGGTGCTGAGCACAAATTGCCTGCCAGGTGTTATTGCCTGGACACGGAATGCCAGGGGCTGGGCCATTGCTCTATAAAATGTTGGAGCAACCTTCAATACAAAAGATGTCATATAAATCTAAACAAACCCTTTTTCTCCCATTTCAGATATCTGTGAAGGTTCTGTGGTCAGATCTTTAGTCAGTGTGGGAATCAAGGGTGAGACTCCTGTGCCT